AAAAAAAAGGCTAAGTGGTTCACCTCTACTTCAGCAGTTACAATTAAACGAAAAGATATTAACCAACTTACATAGCAGAACTTTGCAATTGCGAAACCACAACATAATTCCTTATGGAGGTGAAAAACAAAACAACTAGCATGAGAATCAATAATAGCAATCTGGGCTGCCCCCATGAAAATAAAAATTGTCTATAGGAGGTACTCAAAACTTATTTTCATTGGATATATTGCAGAAACAGTCAGCACTAACTACTATTTTCACACTAAAAAAGATATAGAGAGAAAATAGGTAAGTATTAGTGGATGTTCTGCAACAATGGTTTTGAACATTGGACTTCACATTATACAGCACCCTAGTCCTAGCTCTTCACACCAGGAAAAAGTATACACTCATCCAAGAAAAAAAAAATTATTATAAAGTAAAAATGTATAAGTACCAGTCAGAAACCAAGACAAACATATTGAAATGATTAAGTGCAGTCAATATGGCGAAGCTGTACAAAGCCACAACATGGGTACAGCTAAATATTGAATTATTAGCTATCCAACGTACATAGCTACCTGACTGAGAACAGCCACATTCCCAAAGTCCACATATGCAATACGTCCATCACGCATGGCAAAGATATTTCCAGGGTGTGGATCCCCATGAAACAGACCAAATTCCAGCAACTGTCGCAAAGCAGCACTTACTCCAACCGTCAAAAAACCATCTACGTCAATTCCTTCATTCTTGATAGCCTGTATTAACAAATAACAACTTTAAGTACACATTGACCTGTGCTGTTTTCGGAAAGAAAGAAAAAAAGTATAGTTAATAGGTATATAAACCTGAGGATCTGTGCATCGAATTCCATCAATCCACTCCATCACTAACACACGTGAACCAGAAAGCTCCTTATAGACGCGTGGTATTTTAACTGTTGGATCACCCTTGAAATTCTCAATAAAATCTTCAATGTTACGGGCTTCCTGGGGGTTAAAGATCAAGAAGGATATCAGACGATGCCTAAAGATCCATATGAAATTTTGAACTCTATATTTAACATTCAAGAGTACTTTTCAACACAAGTAGCATCACTAAGTACTCAGAAGGGAAGATAATGGAAGGAATTCGAAGTGAGCCAAATTAGATGCTGAACAAAAGGCATTTGACTTCTAGTTTCAAGGAATAAGAAAATTGTCACAAACTTCAGTCATGGTTCTTTTTTTTTAAAAAAAAGAAAAAAGAAGAAGTAAAGAGCCCATTTATGAAAAGGTAATAGTTATATTAATACCAAGGTATAATCAAGCTCCTCCAAAAGCTTTTCTCCAAATTCATCAACTATAAGCTCTGCATTGCAGCCCAGTTTTTGCAGGCTGATCCCGTTCAAGAACGATGCTAGAGTACGAAAAAGAAAAAGATCTCTATAAATAATGGGCTCTATTTCAGGCCTTTGCACCTGCAAGCATATGATTGAGATCCAATTCACGAAGTCATTCTAAAATTTAAAACTTTAAACAAGAGAGAGCACAAACAATAAACAGAGAGATGATGCTCAAGATATGGTAACTGGCAAGGAGAGCAAGGATTGTATTGTGACTTTTGAAATAGGTTGCCTGGTTGTATTCTGAAATGTCTTTTGTAGAAGTGATCCAAAGGTAAAACATGAAAAGGACAATAAATATGATACTGCTAAACTATAGCCCATTAAACAAGTTCCTGTATGTAATCAGAGAAGATTAAAACATTAATAATTTCAATAACTATAATTATATATGCATCAAGGTTTAAGAAGAAATGTCTTAAAACCTCACAACATTCTCCAGTCTCAGTAAGCAGCTAAACATACCAGCAAAAGACACCCCAATCACATCCTTTACCTACCTTTTGCATAGTTGAGCTTGATAAGTTAAGATGGTCAACTTCATGTACGCATAAAAAGCGAGGACAAACTCATGTAAAGACAACCTCAGTTCTTGAACAACATAGCTAAATTGAAAGTTGATTACTCAAACCTTTATAGCGACATCCTCTCCAGATGATCGGAGTGTAGCTCGATAAACTTGACCCAAGCTTGCAGCTGCAATTGTCTCTGATGATATTTTGCTGAAAACGGCCTCTAGAGGTTGGCCCAACTCCTCTTCTATTATGTCAAAAGCTACCTACAAAACTTTAATGATGGGTAGATCAATTAAAAATAATATGAAATAGATGCATCAACAAGAAAATTGAATACCTGATTTGGGAAAGGAGGAACATCATCTTGAAGGATGCAAAGTTCATTCATGTAATCCTCTCTGATAATATCAGGCCTATTAGCAAGCACCTATTGCCGAGGAAAAAGAAAGCAACCATACCAATAGCCAATTCAGTAAACTGAATACTAGGTTAAGATGGAAGGGCTTCAGAATAGTGTTTTTATCAGGTCCTAAATAAATAACTGAGAAAAAATAGCAGTGTGATTACCTATAAGATATAAAACAAACACAAGTAGCAGAAGATCATCAGAAACCTAGGTTCTCCAAGGCCCAAGCCCCAAGAACATGACAGATAATACAAATTTGCGAACTAGTAAATAATCTGATATGGAACTACTGAAAAAACTGATGTAAGCAAAAAAACCAAAGTATCCTTGAGTACTAGAAAGAGAAGAAATTATCCAATAATTTTCAATATGCATTGTCTACTTTTGGCCTTCAAAACCCATCAATTTAGATTTTTTTCCTATTAGTCTAACCTAATTCGATTAAACTACTCATCCAAATCTTCACTTCCTTTTGCCTATCCATCCTAAAAGATCAAATAGAGCTTGGAGTGCGGGGAGGGAAACCGGGAACATGGTTATCCCTACTGACAAACACCAATATTGATGAAACATATATACATATTGAAAAATCACCTGTCCAGCTTTAATAAAAGAAGGGCCCAAGTCACACAGGAGATTCCTCAGTTGGCGTGCACGAAATGGAACAACTTCTTCATCACGGCCCACAAAACAATCATACATCAAGGCAGACCAGTAGAGTCCCAAACCCCATAAAATTTCAACACCTCTGCCAATTAATGACAATATTGAACCTCTTGACTCCAACACATTATTCCTGACCTACATAAGTACTCAAATCAACATATAGATGAAACATGGGAGTAAATTGTATGATAGAGTAAAACTGAAGCAAGACCAAAAAAACAAAAATCTGAAGCAAATGTAAATCATGTATCTTGCTTTTCCTCACATGATCATCAGAAACAGTTAAATGCAAATTATAAATTACTTGAAAACAGATTATGGAGAATGGAATTTATGCTTCGATCGCAACTTCCAAAAATACATGTTTCTCTATATAAAGCCGATACCTTTATGAAAAAAAATACAAAAGGAAAATGGAGAATTCACAGCTGACATAAGCTAGCATACCGATTCCGGAGTGTACTTCCGAAAGGGAATACAAACACCTCTTTCAATATCCAGCTGCTCCAGTGCGCTGCTAATGCTTGTACTGAGGGGCTTCTCGACTTGTACCAAAGAATCACTTCTCTGGGCTCGAACACTCACTGGCTTCCTAGCTTTACTTTCAGATGAACACCTCCGGAAGAACTTTTCATATTTCCGATGGGTCTTTAGCTGACCAATCGCCGGCGACGCCAGTGGTGAAGATGGAGCGGTGTATCCGCAGTTACAGCAGACCAACTCCATTACTTGCTCGAGATGTGTACTGAAAATGAAAGAAAATTACTGCGGTTTCATGTAAATGGTGTGTCTGTATTTCGTTTGTAGGCTTGCAGGGAAAATGGCGTGGGGGAGGAGAGGTGGGATCGCAGCTTCCACGAGTTGCGCATTGTTCTTTAAGAGTTGTACATTGACTTTGGTGTGGGTGTTGGTGATGT